TCGTAGAAACTGCTTATATATACATATATATATCTGGTAAAATAATATATTTTCCGAAAATTCCCATCTATAATAAGGACACAGATGGTTTGATGAACATGTTTTCGGGAAGGTCTTTTAAAGTCATACAAACCACTAACCACCTATGCAACTACATAGAAGCAAATAATTTTCAGCCACCTATTCCAGTCAACGAGCTGCATGAACTCCTCCTGCGACGCACATTGAATGTGCAACTACTGTTCAATGGCATGCTCTACCGTCAAATTGACGACGTTGACATAAGCTCACCGCTGGGCCCAATGCCAGCCGACATTTTCATGAGTAAACTCCAAAAAGGTCCCTTAAAGGCTAACACTGAGAATATACAGCACTACTGCCGATATGTTGACGACGTCTTCGCCCTTATTAACAACAAAGACGAATTGGAGTCACTCCAACAAGAGTTCAGTAAAGCCCACGCTGCCAATCAATTCACCTCGGAGGGAGAAACCGACAACTTCTTTCACGTCCTAGATGTTGTCCTTGAAAAGTGTCACGATGGTACACTGAAACGATCGGTGTACGGAAAACCAACTTCGGTCAGTCAATACAATAACTTTAGCAGCTTCGTGTCACTAAAGCAGAAACGGAACCTGATCCATAGCCTAACTGACAGAGCGAAGTATGATCTGACAGAAACGGAACCTGATCCATAGCCTAACTGACAGAGCGAAGAAAATATGATCTGACGATGCGCTGGAACAAGAATTTCGAACTCTCACCAACGTCCTGAGAGGCAATGGATTCCCCGACAATTTTATTACAAAGCATTTGAGGAAGCAAACACCATCACAGCGACAGCTGGAAGGAAACCAGTTTACATTAGCCTCCCGTTTAAGGGAGATATATCAGCCGATCTACTGAACAGAAGACTTTCCACCAGTCTGAAAAAAGTTTTCACGGCCGCAAAACTCCGAACCTGGTTCACCAGCAATCGTTTGTGCCCCTTTAATCTCAAGGATAGAGTGCCTGTCCACGCCCAAAATACGTTAGTTTACTCATTCTCTTGCTGCTGTGCAGCGGAATACATCGGACGCACGACTAGGCAACTCAGCCAAAGAATGAAGGAACACAATCCACCCTGGCTAGCTTCTGGAACCAGGAGGACGATAACCAGCTCCGTAGTACAACATTTAGCTGACACTGCACACAACGTGATACCCAGCCAAAGTTTCCGCGTTGTTTACAAGGCGCCGGCTAACCAACCCAGATCAGTACAGCAGCGCACAATTGCAGTGGCTGAAGCTATCGCCATACGACATCGCGACCCGATCCTTTGTCGGCAAAAACGCTTTGTTCGTGTGTTGTACTTACCATGGTCCAACTCACCTCGCCCCACACATGCATCGTGTACTGAACACACAACTACAACACCCCCCGAGCTGACTAGCTCAAGTCATCCTATTGGCGACCTGAACTAATGGTTCTTTGATAGGTAGCCAATGTCATCTCACTCGATTTGCTGTCCATTAACACCATACTCATTCAAATACTTTAAATACTGCTCTCTTAACCTTTGCAATTGTATGACATGAGAAGTGGTTAAAATACCGAGTACATTTACCACATCCATAACACAAAGAAAGAACATAAGCCAGTGTGACAAATCTGGAAGAAACGTAGGTCTGCCACGATATAAATAAGAACTTTTTTCGATCAGAGAAGGTGCAATCTAAGTATCACATTGAAGTTTGGACAGCTATTGATCGGCAAATCAGTCAGTCAGCAGAGCAGTTGGTCTTAATATGGTCTTGACAGCAGTGACAATGATCATTATTACCATCGAGAGCGACAACGTCAGCGTAGTTGCTGAGTTTACATTGTGAACCACCAAAAGGCCATTCTCCTACGTTTAAACCACTAAGTTGAAAAAAGAGTGGACAGCGAAGGGACCTGATTCAAGTCAACCACAATCATTCCGAAGTACCTGCATCTCAAAAACGTCCACTCGAGGAATCTGGGTAGCGGCTATCAGCAAGAAAGCAAACGGCATCGGCGAGCCGGTATATCTTGCAGAGTCTAGAAAAACTCCGGGCTCACAGCTACTTCATCCTAAAGGAAGGGTCCGCCAGTAGTGCTGAAACTTTTCGCAATCTCCATCCAAGCGACTTTATCCACATCGTAGTGTTTGCCATTCACAAGCTGGCATATAGGAAAATAAGCGCCGGTAGAAGACCACTAGGCATGCGAATCACATGGGCGAGCTAATAGTGGCTGAAGTACCAGATATTTAAGAAGACACCTGTTTTTTTACTCAATTCCTTACGAATTCGCTGAGTTATCAAACACCAGCAATGATTCCGAGGGATCGGTTGCTGAACACATCCATTGGCAAAGGCATGTATCATACAACTAAGTAGGCCGTATTGTAGCCTGGTATAATCTGTACTGCAGCCAAGTACCTTGAGACTTAATGCTATACCTCATTGATACCAAAATGGCGCAAACCCTCCACAATTTCTGGTAAATTTCCTTGAACCTTGACAGGGTGCCCTCCGACGCACACATAACATTGCACATCGAAGGAGGGTGTAGTGGTGATCAGTTTATCTATTGGTGACGATGCTTTCTGTCAACAATCAACTATCAGAACTCCGCTTTTTTAAAGGTCCTCAAACCAGGCTGAACAGAAACTGAAATTGGTCGTTTTTGATAGACAGCACTTTTCGTATGGGGGATTATGGGGAGGTCCCCGTACGATCTCACACGTCCAGAAGTATTTTAATGTAAAACCAGATCATGTTCGCGAGTTTCTAAGGCATATCCTGTAGAATACAAATGGCTTGGAGGACTGACAGGATCGAAGTGATTCCCGAAGTCAACGAACACCAAGATTACCCCGCCGGAGTGCAAACATGTCGTCGATGTAGTCTCTACCCGATGAATGTCTCGCTGGTTGTTCACTGGTCACCACGAGTTGACAAAGAATCAGTAACTCCGGAGGCCTTGTTACAACAGGAACCAGAAAGACATCTTTGTGGCAACCGCACTCACAGCGATCACCCTTTTGAGAATGGGTACTATCATAAACGCACCTCAGCTTTCTGAGACGGTTTCTTCTTCCGGCTGTGACAATATAGTGCTTCTCATATGCTCTTCCTGAGTAGATATCTCTTTCTAAAAGGAGGGACTGTACAGTCGCGCGATTGGCAGGCACAATGCTAAACCTCTCCTCAAAAGGGACAGGAGAATTTTAGCAATTTCGGAAGTAGTATTTCGTAAAAAGGACCGTTTTTTGCTGTTTGATATGGCAAGTGGTTTCCCTTAAGCTACGATAGGTTAGGATGCACAAAAGCCAAATGATCTACTCCCGGAATCTATCCAAAAAATCTCGTTTCACTCCAGGAAAATCTGCTTGTTAAGGTACAGCCATGGATTCCCATCAGATTACGAACAGCATCGCTCGTCACTCTTTGTATGTATGTTCTTGAATGGCACATTATCTGACTGGCTCGACGGCATATGACGTTGGTCAACTTGTGTTTGAAATATCGACTGCAACAAAGCATCGATTACTGGATAATCGAACCTCGATTCCACTTTCAGTTGACTGGCTAAAAGACGGTTTCTCACAACGGTTCCAATCGTGGTTACTGAGTTATATCTTATGATATCGTGGGATTGAAGTCATAGCAAAGTATACATCAGACACAATACGCAGTTACCTAAATCACTCTATGTTCCCATTGTTGAATGAACCTTCGGGCAGTGGTACAGGCTGAGCTTAAGAATCTAGATGCTTTGACAACGCAAAACTGAGTTAACAAAGCCTTAGTGCTATATTCAAAATTGAGCATCCTCAGGGTCAGGCTCCAGATAGCTCACTGGTTGAGACGGGGGCTACCGACTGCACAGTCAGTGATTCGAACCCAATCCCGAGTTCTCGATTGCTGATCTTTAGGCTTGGACAACCTGACAGTATCTCAGCTTTTGCGCTTCGTTCGGGCTGCATGGTAACCATGAGTCGAAAACGTGAAACAGCTGGATGATTGCTATTAATGTCTTTAACGTTGTCATCAGAGTCTCATGCTGCCAGGTTGTCTCCAGTGCATTCTATCCCTCAGGAACGCACGTATGTATCGCCTAGCTGTGACAGACATACAGTTGATGAACTCAGTCCTACCCGGCTCATTTCAGCAACAGACCGAACGTCCAGACTCAAGACTGTCAGAGCTCAAGGGCACGATATTGCAAGAGGCAGCATTCTGCTTTTCAGCTTTGAATTACACGTCTTGACAAATTTCGACAAAAAACGCAGAGGTGAGCCTGATTGGAGTTGAAATATTCCCAAGTTTGCACAGCTTCTGGCATGAGACGCTAAGAGGTAGGTACCCATTCCGCTATCCTAATTTCGAATTGGGTCACCCTTAGATTTATGCCGAGAAATCTAAGGACTCTTCGGTCACCTCAAAGATTGGGAACTAAAGACCCTGAGATGGCTGAGTGTTTAAAGCGCAGGTCCCACTCAATCCTGCACTGACGATGTCACCTCGATTAGTGATGAAACGTTTGCAATCCAACTGCCAAGCTCGGCGAACAGACCAACAATCAAACGCGCAGGTTTACTGACCGAAGGGTCTGTAGTTCGAACCCGACCTCTGCATATCGACTGCTCCTGTCTAGGCTTGGGCAACCTGGCAGTATCTCAGCCCTCGCGGGGCCTTCGGGTGGCACGGTAGCTGGGAACCGTGAGGGTATTACAGCTGAACGACTATTATTGTTATTATTATTATTATTATTGTTATTACTGTTATTTAAAATCACTCTAACTGAAATTGCAGGGACCTCTTGGCAGGAAACGCGCCTAAACATGAGGCTAAATCAGGGACGTTTACGGTCATCAACTCAACCTTTGTTTCATGACCTCAAAATCAGTATTTCAGGTAGTAAGTTGAGGTCGGATTCTAAGCAACCCAGAAAAGAACAAGCACAACGATAAGCCTCAGTTTTTCACGTACTTTCGCGGAATCATAGGGCAGTGACTGATCGACATGGGAATCCGTGCCAGGTTGCAAGTAATCATCCACCCGATTATTGGAGTTGGAAGATTGCAATTTGGCGTCAACGGGAATTGAGAGAGACTCCTTTGGTTCAAGGGAGCTTGAAGAGAGGTAATGTCGGATAGAAGGGATTGGAGGTGGTGGACGGGTCGGAGTCGGACTGGGATGGCCTGAAAGCGCTTGAGTGATATTGTCGACACTTGAGAAGTTGGTATCCGTAACTCGACCGGGTGAAGAATGTATTTCACTGGAAGAACTTGAAGTGGATGTTGTTTTTTCAACATCCGAATCAGAATCGGTGGATAGAGAGACGTGGGATTCACCATTTACTGGTCCACCGTCACTGGGCAGATGTGATTTTTGGATCATATGATCACGCTTCTGGCGAGAAATTTCGTCTCTGATCAGAGAATTTGGAAAAAACGAAGTTGTAGATATTACGCGAAAGGTTGAAATGAATAGTCAGAGGTAATAGCACCAGGACCAACCCGAATGGCAAATGGATCAACTAGATCAAGCAATTTTGAGCGACATACGCAAAAAGGCTTAATTATGATCTTTCGGTTGGAACATTTAAGCGAGACGATTGGTTCCAAATGACAAATTGTCAGCACTCTCCCGTGGCTGCAACACACACAGAAACGTCGAAACGAAGAATCAAATTAGGTCGGAGCGGGCGCTGGTTATTTTTTGACGGTTCTAGTAGCCTATCGCCTGTCATACAGCCCCATAGTGGAACACGTGGCCCCAAAATTAAACAATCCGCGAGTAACTGGTGTGCTGTCTTGACACACTGAAACATTAGGTTTGCAAACAGAAATGATCAAACGACCATTCGATAACTATAATTTGTGAGTACATCTCTCAAAACAGGAAGGAAATGACCTGTTTTTTGGAACTCCTACAAAACATTTAATCGAGCAGTTTCACGCCTCCTCAAACACTCTTCACCAAACGGAAAACATCGTTTGAAGCAACCAATTTTTGAAGAGGTAAGTCAAGTAACGGTCTCACTATTAATAACCATAAATTCAAAAGCGCTTCGATGTTACGCATGAGGTGACAGATATTGCACACGTGCTAAAGAGGTCCTTGCGGTGATCCGAGAGTCAGTTTCTCAGGAAATTCCACATGGACCATACGAAAACATGACATGACACGCATCATCCCGCAATAAAGGGTCTTCGCATGTCACGAACACGACAAGTATTCCTGATCGATTCGTGGGGTTAGTGGGTAGGCATTCGAGCTATTTAACGATCACCAAGAACTGAGGAGCCATGAATGTTTGTGGATCCTATTTGGATCTCCAAGGTTTAGACGGGAAACTTGAACAAACACCAGATTCTTCGACTGGGGGCGAGCATCAGTGTTAAGCACACATGTTATGCCATGCATGATGATACCTAGCGGTTGTACCGGATCAGACCAAGATTCAAAGGCCACTTTCCCAAATCTTCCTTGTTGACTTAAGAGTGAAAACAATAGGCATGCTCATGGACGGTAGTAATTCAGCGCCTCTTGTATCTGCCTCATCGTTCTCTTAGAGAAGGTCGCCTCAAAGCAATTCAGTCTGGTGTACTGCGAAAGGTTTTCCAGTCACTAGTCAATTCTCTCCACCGAGCTGTACATACACCATATTGGTATTGTGGAGATAGAAGAGTTTACGAGATACCAACACCATTGGAAACAACTGGATGCCAGGCACTTGTGTATGGAGTTACGGTATTTTTTTGATGTAAACATAATAGATTCAATGTGTGGGTTATTTAGGTTTTCAAAATGCTTGCGACACAGTGCCAAGGTTTTGACCAACACAATTCTCTTCAACAAACATATGGACCCAGAAACCCGTCTGCCAACAAGCTTACATTGAAGCTCTTGTTTCCATAATCAGTGATCTCAGAACGATACACACCAAGTATTGGAAACAACGATAGACAAAGCCAAACCAAATACTAGTGGTGTTCACTCTCGAGATAACTCAGTGGATATGGCAACAGCTTAAGGACCGAAAGATCCGTGATCCAAATCCAAGCTCAGCATCTCGACTGCTCCTATCTAGGTTTGGTTAAACTGACAGTATCCCTGCCCTTGTGCCTCCTTCCGTTAGCACGACAGCTAAGCACCGAAAGCGTGCTACAGCTGAACGAGGCGTCTTTGTATCGAAGGTATCACCTATCCTTTCCATGTTCTAACTGATCAACAAATGTACAAAAACTGTGAATTCCAACCCGGGATAAATTTTTTCGAAAACTATCACTGACTTCCATCGGACAGTCTTTTATTGCAAGATACAGGCTCTTTGATAGGGTGATACCAAATGAAGCCTCAGAAGAATGAACCGCCGAAATTTATTTGTATTATCGTCATCGACGGTAACTCTGGGTCATCACAACACCGCCTGATAGGTTCCCGGTAAACAGAGACAAAACAAGTACCTTACAGTTCTATATGGATCCATCAGGAACTAACTTCGGTGAAATAGTCCGTGGAAGGTAGAATCTAAAATCACGTATGGAAAACGATGCTTATTTTAGTCCAATTCGCTCAGTCCTTGTTACAGACCTGAGTTCGTTTTCATTGATTGATCGCATTAACATTCAGGTAGTGGATGCAGGTGGCAGGTCCGATACTAGCCATTCAAGGACATTTGGCCAAAGGCGTCCAATATTTATATAACCTAGGTCTACCACAGTACTCACGAAGCATCCACAGTGTAGATGGGCGTGACGCTTAGACTAAGGAACTGTGATTGTGGTTTGTGTGTCCACATGCCATTAAATCAATCATCAACGCAGGTGGTCTTCATGAATCAATAACAGCCAACGAATTCCTTAAGCACGTGACCATTGTGATACAGATAAGTTAAAGCGTTCTGATTATAAGGAAACTGAGCAGTGTACCGGGGAACAGCGTTTCTGTTGACGAACAAAATACTGAAACAGTTTCTAAACACCTGCCATCCTTTCGATGCCCACATTTTCATTCAAGTGTTTTTTTTTTGCGTATACGTGTTATTTGGGTAAATTATGAACCAAAATTCCCACTTAGTCATGGAACACAGAAGGTTTGAGAAACATAATATTGCAATAATTGCGCGTTAGTTCACACAACTACAGAGGCTAGAACGTTGAGATATAGAGGCATATAACAAGTAAAAGAAAGAGCCGAAATATTGTGGAGTAACGCGCTGGATTAAACAATTGGGTCAAGGTCACAAACAGGATGGAGACCAGGTGAGAGTGACAATGGCCGGTATGCCTGGATGAGCTTGCGAACGTGCTCGGCCAGGTGACCTAGTGTGTGGACAAATTGGCACAGGATAGAGTCACGCACTCTGCAGGCAATGGTGTCGGCCAAAGAAATAATGCTAGGTAGAGTCGTTCTGGTTTTATGTGACTGCTTTCTCAAATGCACCTAGAAAGGTTCAGTGGGGTTTTCGTTATGGCGTGCCGTCAGGTGCTGATCGATTGCACTGCCTATCATCAATGTCTTAGTGTTTATAGTAAGACTGGACGGCATATATGCAATATCGTAAGTATCGTATCGTAGGTCCGATGTACTCTATAGCACGGCTGCATGGGAAGGAATACACCAGCGCGTTTTCGGCACGGATGAGCAATCGGTCTTTTACGTTAAAACGTAACCGCGTGGCCGTAGGGCATGCTCTGCTGATGGCTTTGTAGTGTACACGGTTGACCCAGTTTGTCCGCAAGCCGCTCTTGAGTGGTAGGCTGATGGGCTTCACCACTACTGTGACAACCTGAGACTCTGGCTTTGCACAATACTTGAGATAGAAATTCTCAGGCGTCATTTTCCTTTAAGATATTTCATAATAGTTTGGGTTCATGCTGCTCTCCCACACAAACAGTGGACGACGGCCCTTTTTTGTTTTAGGGGCACAAAGCTGTTAAGACTGATGTACTGCCCCATAAAAATGATGCTTCGAGAACCCATTGTCTAGCCTACCAAATCTCACATCCGAGTTAGTCATATGTCATACCTTAAAAAGTCGCAGATTTTCTATATGTAGTAAAATTTTGCTTGATCAGACAGGGGTCTATGACTTTCTATACAAACCTTACCTTAAAATATCAGTGTGCATTTGTCACAGTTCCCTATACAAACCCAACTTTGTCAAAGCACGTTCCACTAAGTACTGTTGAGGCTAGACTCTCATTGACCATGCATCAACTTTGGGTGGGCGAACACGGAATTTAAAAATTTTGAATTCCCCAAGTTCTCATTGTTTACAAAGCTGCATGGCCTCCTAGAATTAATTAACTCAAGTAAACATTTTACCCAATAGTTGTTCGTAGTAAATAGACAGACGACTGACGTGCACACCATTCCACGCAAAAGCCTCCGTGCTATGTAACATCACATAGGCAAAACAAGACGAGGTTTGCAAGAGTGTAAGGCTCGGCAGTAAAAAACTAACCGTAGGAGACCACTGAAATCAAACACTATCCAACATATACAGTACATTGCTCTGTTTTTAGTATAAGACTGGCATAACTTGGACGATATTGCCTCATACTCCACCCCAATTGGCTGCATAATAATAATGCATCATAATGAATGGTCTGGGACAGTAGCCATCCAGTACATACACTGAGCCAAATGTGCCTAATTCCCCTAACTTAGTTGGCAGTCAAAATCTATCAGTGATGCACATCGCTCGCCCTAGAACATTTCCTTCTGCCTCCACGTTGTTAACGCAAGCTAAAGTGTGCTCACGTTGATCCAAGTATTACTCTGTTCAGGGTATTAAGATCTTAATTGGCCACCTTAAAGCTCCATTGGACCGAACTGATAGGAAAATCCTGAAAAGGGGTGTCAGCCTCGGAGAGCCTTGCATCTCAGTATGGAACGGATGCTATCATGTAGCGAATGACTAGCTGTATAACCTATGAGTTGAACTAATTCAGATCAGGGTGAGATTAGTTTGGAATTGTCTAGCCTTCTCATCCTATCCCTAGTCCTCTAAAACAAGTTTTTGAAACGTGCGAAATGCTACCAAAAAGATTGATCACTGTTAGGCCATTTGATCGACTAAACCAAGCTGTCAATAGACAGACTGCAAAAATCTGACAAACTGATCAGCATATCTATCGTAGGATTTGGCTTATGATTAACCACTGTTAATGGCACGCTTTCAAATTGGACGCTTTCCTCTAATATTCCCCTGTACAGCCTTCCACTTCTTTCACTTGGATCTGCATTTTATGTTTGTGATCGTGTGCTTTAGAAATAAACAATAGTAGCTCAAAGAATTCATCACTCGAGGACCTAGTCACTGCGTGATCAAGCGATGTGGTTTTCTTGGTTGAAGGATGAGTGGCGACATACCCTGTCTAATTGAGGGTTAATCACTGCTCATCAGCCGCTCGTGGC